TGCGGAAGGATGGGGAAGTCTGATGTGTACCTCAAGGGGATTTGATTTTGGGTGAGAATAGCCAATGATTTGAACTATATGATGTTAACTGCTACATAATATTATATGCCATACCAATGATATTACAATAAGAATCACCCAGATTAATGAAGAATGAACTTCGATGAAACCAAGCAAAGCACAGTGATGATGGAACCAGAACTGACTTCAACATGAAACAATCCAACACCGCATACCATCTCCATCTTTCCTGCCCTGAAAGATTATTATGACAGATGGAGCCCAAAGTCATGGACTAAATGAACTCAACAAACATTTTAGAGGGATGGCCCATAGACTAAGGGAATTATATCTGTGTGTATATATGTCAAAAAACAGGAAAAGGGGTGGTGATCAATGGAAATGTATTGGAAAGATGGGGACCTGGGCATGATGTAGATGGTATAGAATAAGGGGTGGAAAATTAACTCCATCCCAGCTGAAAACAGGACAGTGGGCAACCTGCCTGGTTTAGGGTGCCATATCCCTACAGTCCCATCCTCAGGTGCAGCTCGGGCAACCTGCCTGGTTTAGGGTGCCATATCCCTACAGTCCCATCCTCAGGTGCAGCTCTCCCTGCACCTCACCTAAACCCCATTTAGTGCCACAATGTTTGACACTTGGGCAGTTTCCTATTGTTTATTTGTTTTCCCAGTTGTGTTCCTGAAGCAGCTCCCGCAGCTCACAGGCCATCTGTGCCTGGTGCAGGGATAGAGCACATGGGGCACCGAGGTGGGTCGGAGGGGGCAGCTGGCCAGCTTCTCTGCTCTCTCATACCCCACTTTTCTCCTCGCTAAATGATCCCCAGGGCTGACATCTCCCCTGGGCACTGAAAGCCTTTGCTGTGCCGGTGGCAGTGCCAGCCTCCTGCCAGTGGTCACCACACGAGGCCGGCCCCCCCCCACCTCACTGCAGCAGGTGCTGGGGGGACATGGGGGAAAGCAGGGAGGGGGTCAGGAGTCAATCAGTGGGGACATGGGAGCCACGTCCAGCTGAACTCCCTCCACACTGGATTTCCTGTTGTTTGGATCAGCAGTGAAAAACAAGAGATCAAAACAAAGCCAGGCCAGGCTGGGAGTCCCTTTGTCTTGCTATTTATTCCAGCGTAATCTAATTAAAGCAACAGGAAATATGCTTTCCCACAGTGACTGGACATCTTTAAAAAGAAACAGCACAAATAAAAGCTCCACGGGCCAGGTGAAGGAGGGGACAAGGGCAGCAGAGGCCAGGCTCCACCACCGAAGGCACCAGGAGGGATCTGCCCAAGATATCTGTGTACCTTGTCCCTTTGCTGAGATGCCTCACTGAGATGGTGAGTGGCAGCTCTCATAGGGCGCTGGGGCATCTGGAGGTTCATCTGAGGTCTCCTGGGACAGGAGCTGCCACCCTGCCCTGCATCTCCCTCAACACTCTGGGGAGCACCCCTGGGGTCTGACCCCTCCGCACAGGATTTCAGGAGCCCACCCATCGCTCTGGGGGTGTGTGTCTGTGCTGCCTTACATGATGGGGCTGGAAGGGACAGTCACAAGTGCAGATCTTTACTTTCCAGCGCTGGCTGGACCTCTGCTGAACACGTAAAGTGCTGTGGAAAAGAGCACAGGCAAGGCAGGGTGGGCGCAGGAAGAAAGGAAAGGGCTGGAGGAGTATTTCAAATACTTTATTTAAAAAAAAATCCCAGTTAAAAACACAATGGCCATGCCTTTCTGTGGATGAGAGGCACAGCCTGTGCCCCGTGCCCCAGCTGGCCCTCGGCACCGCTCCCTGGGTGGCCAGCTCAGAGGCCGTGCTCCTGCCAGGAAGGTAATGTGGTGCTGGGCTCCAGCTGGGGAGGGTTCACAGCTCTGAGCAGCCCCTCTCTTAAAAAAACATTTAAAACCAGTTGTGAGAATAAACTCTGTGGTGTTAAAAAAGGAAAGAGAAAGGAGCAAGGGAAGCTCTGCCGGCACTGGAAGGCTGTGGCTGGAGGCCCCACACTCCTGCCTGGGGAGAGCCATGGTGCTTGTGGTGCGCAGCAGCTTTTCTTCTTTAAAGAGAAAAAAATCAACCAACCAACATTAATTTCTTCCAAATTCCCCCGCAGCTACAAATTTCACCAGCTGCTAACATAAACACGCCGTCTTCCCCACGGGAAATGCTCTTGCGGAAACCTGAGCCTTCCTTCTCCGCTAAACAACATGCTTCAGATTCCCTGCAAATAAAAGGAGGCAGAAAAGGATATTTCCACTGATATTTAGCCTGACAGAGTGGCCTGGCCAGGGGCAGGGGTGCCACCCCTACACGTGATGGACCGGGCAGTGATACAGGAATCTCAGCCTCAGCGCAGACCCCAGTCCCTGCTGGCCCCTCGCTCCCTTTGCAGAGGCTGCTGCCCTCCTCCGAGCCAGACTTGGGGAACTACCAAAGGGAGACCCTGCCACCGCTTCCGCTATGCATTTCTCCTGCAGGCTGATCACTGGTTCAGGATTCATGGGCCAGCACCGGAGGGACACATGCTCACTCCCTGCTGCCTTGTCCTTCCTCTGGGCTGGATGCGCTGCCAGGAGCGCGAAGCATAGATCCCTCCCTTCCAGCTCTGGAGTAATGCTGTTCCTCCTCCCCTCCTGGACAGGTCAAGGGGGGATGTCCCCTCCCTAGGATTGGCCTGTGCTTGGGAATGGACACCCCAGGGCATCCATGGCCATCGCATCTCCCACCCATCTCCTCCTACTCTGCTTCTAACACCAACACATCACAACATGCACAGAGAGAGAAAAGGGCTGCTGAGCCCTGTCTTGCTGCCCCCAGCTCCTCCTGGGGACAGGGACAAGACAGATGGGCAAGGGCATCAAACGAGGCTGGCAGGAGCTGGCAGGGCTCACCGACCCGCCTGCCCTGGACTCCAACAGCTTTCAGTCTCCTGCCTGGCTAGAGGACTGTCCCAGCTCCTGAGGAAATGCATAGAGATCAGATGGGGAACCATCTTCCTTTGCCCTCAGGCAAGCCCCAGCCCTGCATGCAGCTCTGAGAAGAGCAAGGCAGCTCTGGCTCTGCCCCAAGGGCCGATGGAGGGATGCCAGTGCTGTGGGAGCCGGCCTCAGGGATGCTACACACGCTCCTGCCAAAGGCAGACCAGGATCTCTTGGTAGGCCTGAAATAAAAAAAGAGTAGCTGGGGCTTTGCGGGACCCCGAGCAAAGCACTTGGCAGCCAACCCTCAATTCTGGAGCAGCTAAGCGTGCTGAAGAGAGCCTGCAGGCTGGGCTGGCAGTCCCTGTCCTCTCCCTGCCGCCTGCCCATCCACAATTTCCCTTTAGACATCGTGGTTCACATCCTAAGCAGATGATAAAGGCTTTTCCTGCGTGCTGGGGGACTGGATACTCCGCACTTACACTAACTGCCCTGCATGGCAGCTGGGGCTGGGGTTGCTGGAGCAGGTGGGAATGGAAAGCCCAGCAGCTGCCAGCACAGCCAAGCAGGCAGCAAAGCAACGCTGGGAGTCAACAGTTAAAAGCAGGAGCCACAGCTCTGCTGCTGTCAGTCTGTCCACACTCTGCCCTGTGTCCGGCAGGCCCGTTCCCCCAGCGTTGGCAGTGCCACATCCCCTTGTGCAGCCCAGGGTAGGTAGGCAGTTCTGCCTTGCTCCATCCGTTGCTGTTTCACTGCCGAGGGAGACGGACCCTCCTTGCCCGATTCGCTCCTGCTGCCTCTGGCACTGCCACTGCAAGCGCAGTGGAAAACTCACTGCAGGGAAAACCAGTCCTGGAAAGCACTGGGCTCTTGGACCAGCCTCTCTGTGGTGGCTGGGAAGGGAGGAACGGGGTTTCTCCGCTCTCCCCTCTGCCACAGGCATGAGTTTTCCTCTCAGTGGGTGGCATGACAGAGGGAATCCCACTATCGAGCACCCAAGATTCCTGCTCTGTTTCAGCCACACGTGATGCTGGCTGGGAAGCCTTTGGGTGCTCACCCACAGGTCTGGATCTGCATGGCAGGCATCCCGGCCACCGCAGGGGAAAACGCAGCATGGCCTGGGACTAGTTGAGCACTGAGCGCAGGGCTGACCGAGCTTGGGGTCTCAGACCCCTTCCCAAACAGACAAGCAGCCCATCTAGGGCACAGACCATGCTCATGCCAGCTGTTCCCCAAGCACACATCTGGCTCCTTTGAGAAGTGCTATCAGGAAAGACAAAAATGTCTGGGATCCACCTGTCTCCCTTCTTCCCCTACAAATCCATGGCTACTAAATCCACTTCCTTCTACAAGCACGGATGCCTTCCTAGGTACAAAACACACATTCCCACCAGATCCAGCACTTGCAGTGGCATTGAAGTTCCTTCAGGAATGCACTCAGTTCCCAGGGGAAGTGGCTGTGAGCTGAGCTGGAAGTGTCACTCGAGGGTGCGGAGGTACCATCCAGGCAGAGCACAGCCTGCAGTGCCCTGCTCGCTCTTCCCCTCCCTGCTCCCAGTGCTCAAGGGCCCTGGTCCTTCTCCTAGGTATGATGTTGAGGAAGGGACACTGAGGAGGGCATGAATTTCCAAGCCCTCCTGCTCCTAAGACTGTCTGATGAGGTCTGACAGCAGAAGAGAGGTATTCTAGTTAAGCTGCAATTGCCTTGGGAGCCTGTAAGTCAAGCATCTGTAGGGAACAGGGTTTATAACTGCCTCATGCCCCAGGTAGCACTTTGACAGATGATAGTAAAGAGAACGACTGGTCTTTTGTGACATGACAAAGAAAGAAACAAAAATCATCATGCATAGGAGAGAAAAGGAGTGGGGGAGCTGAACGTAACAAAGCGCAGCAGTTGTGATCAGATGGTGGACCGAGTGTTCCCAAAGAAGTGTTTCAACAGACCCATACTGAAGTCACCCATCTCCAAAGGACAGGCACAGACCAGTCCTGCAGGTTTGCACCTACTCCCAGGCAGTGGTCCCTCACACAGGCTTGGGGACAACTGCCTGAACATGATCCAGGTAAGGCTGGTAGTGTGCCATGTTACAAGCCCACTTCAGCAAGCATGGAGTCTAACCACTTGCCTTTTATTCATCTCTCTGTAAGACACTAGAAGACATGGCTGTTTTCTGAGTTGCTTCCACTGAGTTGGAGCACCTGTGCTCTCTTGGGAGCAAAGGATGGGAACTTTGCTCCAGGGCAAAGCACTGCCTCAGAGAAGAGACTTGTGCCAGGGCTGACTGTGTGCCACGGATATTTTTGCGTTGCAGGGTTCACTCTCTAACTGACAAGCTCCAACCAAACTTGCATGCAGGAGGAGGATGTGAGCTTATGGCATAAACATGCAGAACTTGGACTTTTGATGAAACAAATGGTGATTTAAACCAAACAGGCAGAGGAAGGTAAAATATTCTATGTCAGGCTTGTATTGGGTGGTGATGAGCATACACTTGGGAAGTGGTAGCTCACCAAGCTGTGGTAACGGGACTGTCAGCAACTGGGAAGCATGTCTAGGAGTCAAAACTGAGCTGGGGACTGGAGAGGCTGGGGAAAAACTAGGCTGGGGAACTGAAAAGCTAGCCGTGGTGCAGGGGAAGGGCTAAATACGCAAGCTCTCCTCTCCTGAACTCGGACACTGTGGTACAAAAGGGAATGAACACCATGCATCTGAAGCAGCTGGAACATATCCCCTTGAAAGCACCAGCTTCTCATTCAGCCCTACACAGCCTCCAGGTCCTCCTGCATCCAAACGTTAACCCCCAGCTCCAGGCAGGCCACTAAGAGATTTCTTTCTTATTGACAGGGTAATCCCAGCCATGGTACCTTCCCTGCATCCAGGCTGAGACCTGGGCTCACAGCCCCAGCTTTTTCTGTCTAGCTGTAATTAGCTGCCCTCCTCTGCAAGAAGCCTCTGTGTGGGCACATGTGTCTGAGGCTGATGACACCCACAACCACGTCCAGCAAGCGTTTCATCTTATCGAATGAATCATAGAATCACGGAACAGTTTGGGTTGGGAGGGACCTTCCCAGACCGTCTAGTCCAACCCTCCTGCCATGGGCAGGGACATCTTTCAGTAGATGAAGTTGCTCAAAGCTCCGTCCAACCTGACCTTGAACACTTCCAGGGATGGGGCATCCACAGCTTCTCTGGGCAACCTGCTCCAGTGTCTCACCACCCTCATCAAAAAACATTTCTTCCTTATGTCCAGCCTAAACCTACCCTCATTCAGTTTAAAACCATTGCCCCTTGTCCTGTCACTACAGGCCCTGGTAAAAAGTCTCTCTCCATCTTTCTTATAAGCCTTCTTTATATATTGAAATGTCGCCATAAGGTCTCCCCAGAGCCTTCTCTCCTCCAAGCTGAACAACCCCAACTCTCTCAGCCTTTCTTCCTAGCAGAGGGGTTCCAGCCCTCGGACCATTTCCGTGGCCTCCTCTGGACCCACTCCAACAGGTCTATGTCCTCCTTGTGCTGGGAACCCCAGAGCCTCGACCTGCTGGCCACACTGCTGGTGATGCACCCAGGATACGGTTGGCTTTCTGGGTTGCGAGCGCACATTGCTGGCTCATGTCCAGTTTTTCATCCACCAGCATCCCCAAGTCCTTCTCTGCAGGGCTGCCCTCAATGCCTTCACCCCCCAGCCTGTATTGATACTGGGGGTTGCCCTGCCCCCCCCAGGTGCAGGACCCTGCACTTGGCCTTGTTGAACCTCATGAGGTTCACATGGACCCACTTCTCGAGCTTGTCCAGGTCCCTCTGGATGGCATCCCGTCCCTCAAGCGTATCAACTGCACCACTCAGTTCGGTGTCATCTGCAAACTTGCTGTGGGTGCACTCAATCCCACTGTCATGCCATTAATAAAGATATTGAACAGTATTGGCCCCAGTGCAGACACCTAAGGGACACCACTGGTTGCTGTTGGACATTGAGCCACTGACTGCAACTCTTTGGATGCGCCCATCCAGCCGATTCCTTATCCATCTAACACTCCATCCATCAAATCCTTCTCTCTCCAGTTTAGAGACAAGGATGCTGTGTGGAACCATGTCAAAGGCCTTACAGAAGTCCAGGTAGGTGACATCAGTTGCTCTTCCCTTACCCACCAACGCAGTCGCTCCGTTATAGAAGGCCACCAGATGAGTCAGGCATGATTTGCCTTTTGTGAAACCATGTTGGCTGTCTCTAATCACCTCCCTGTCATCCATATGCCTTGAGATAGCTTCCAGGAGGATCAGCTCTATGATCTTACTGGGCACAGAGGTCAGAGGCTGACTGGTTGGTAGTTCCCAGGGTCCTCCTTTTCACCATGTTTAAAAATAGGCGTGATGTTTCCCTTTTTCCAGTCACTGGGGACTTCACCTGACTATCATGATTTTTCAAATATGATGATGATCGTATTTTTCAAGTATGACCTCTCATCACGACTGGCTGTTTATTTGCAGTGTCACCAATTCTTTACAAACCTGACCTTACTTTTAAACAATCTCCTCTTAACAAGGTAACAGAAGCATAAGCCAAGCCACTACCCAGGCACGTTGTGGCCATCCATCCATCTGTCAGGAAGATTTCAATAAAAACTGACTTTAATTTAGGCTGTCTGTGAGATAAGGTTTAAAGAGTTTGGGCATATGGCTCCTATTAAACTGGTCCGTTCACAAGTACTCATCTTGAGCAGTGTCATGCATGTCCTACAGGCCAGACCAGGCTGGCCAGAACAGTCTACGTCACCCAAGACCCACTCACTGCCTGCTGTTTTCCCACAAGTCTTCCAGATGGGGCCAGGGAGAGGGTGGGAGCCTCCCAGCTTGTGCTTGCTCTTGCCTGACATCCTTCCTATAAGCCCCTGCCTTCCTCAGTAGGCTTTATGAGCTGGTGCCGGCAGAAGGGATGGACAGAAGTGCTATGGCAGCCTGCACTGTCTCCAGGGAGTTGCAGTTCCAAAGCACCAACCACAAGCCATGAAGAGAGATCCCAGAGCACCAAGCCATTCCTCATTTTGAGTGCTGCATGGTGGGACAGGACAGAGGAGGTGATCATCTGCTCCTCAAGTTTCTGTAATGAACAAGACCCTCAGCAACTCCTTGTCCCCCGCACAATGGATTTTCAGAACAGTGGCTGTCCCCAGGACATTGCTCTGCTGAGTTGGTAGCAATATCCTCTTGACTTTGCAGAAGCCCCTTTCTCACAAGATGCTTTCAGCCCTACCAAGACAGTGGACCCTGCAATCTTTCCTCAATGCCCAGTGCAGATGTGTGCCCACTGCTTTGTACCAACAGGTACAAAGGTGTTTGCCAGGCACTGCTGTCATGCCAACCTGCTCCACCATCTCTTGTGATCTCTGTGTGAGATGCTGAAAATCGGTCCCCTGTAAAGATCCAGCTGACTTTAACTGATTTTTTTAATCCTTTGCTCTTTGCTTCCTTTTTCCAAATCAGTGGATGCAAAAGACTCAGTGGCACATGGACTTGATACATTTCCAAGTTGACCTGAAGAATCTCAGTTCTTGGTGTAATGCTATTATAAACTAGGTACTCTGGTACTTAAAAAATAATGGAATAGAAACTCCTATTTTTCTCCTAAAAGGAGCTGGGACATCTTTCTCATTTCAACTTTGGGAACTGCAGAAAATTCTGAGGGTTTATAAAACTGTTGCTGGGTCCAGTTAATCCCAGATGAAGATGTGCTTCTTGTAAAGATGGAGCAGACTAAGGCCCTTCAGCTTGGAAAAGAGATGGTGGTGGAAGTGCGACATGGATCTGTGAAATCACAGACTGGCATTGGGAAGGTGAATAGGAACTAGTTACTTGCTGTTTCCCATTTACAAGAACAAGATGGCACTCAGTGAAATTACCCAACACCAAGTTTTACACAACAGAAAGTAGTTTTCCACACGCCAACCATGACACTCACTGCTGTAGACACCCAAAGTCCAAATAAGTCTGGAAAAGGAATAGAGGAATTAGTGGAGGACAGGTTCCTTGGTGGATCTCTAATGTGCATCCAGTAACAATGCCTGGCTTGGGAAGCCCTGAAACCACCAAATCCAAGAAGCTGGGTAAAGATACCAGGAAAAGGATATATAAAACCAACTGCTATGCTTACCTTAGAAATGCAGATTTACAGACACATTTACTAGCTACTGAGCCTACCTTCCCGTAGTGAGCTACATACCCTCCTGGCTTTAGTAACCACCCTTGCGTTCACTGACATTTTTATTAAACATCAAGAAGTTAACACAAGAAGAATGGCTTCTTCAGATACATGAGCAGTAAGCAGAAGCCCAGGGAAGACACAGGCCCATTGCTAACAAGGGTGGGGAAACCAATTACTAATAATGCTGACAAGACAGAGGTTCTCAATACCTTCTCTACCTCTGTCTTTACCAGCATAGCTGGACCCCAGATCACAGGAACATGTGCCTACGACAATGCATGGGTCCACCCACCAGCAGGGATGGGTGGTCTGTGACCTCTTGCAAAGGTTCAACCCACATCAATCTATGTTCAGAGAAGTGGCTGATGTTGTTGCAAGGCCACTGTCTATAATATTTGAAAAGTCGTGGAGATCAGGGGATATCCCTGATTACTGGAAGAGGGCAACTGTCACAGCCATCTACAATGAGGGCTCAAAAGAGGACTTGGGAAACTACAGGCACATTAGTCTTACTTCAACCCTTGGGAAAGTCATGGAACGAGTCCTCCTAGACACTGTTACAAACCAAATGAAGCAGGTGACTGGGAAAAGCCAGCATGGATTTACCAAGGGCAAATCATGCCAGGCTGATCTGGTCATCTTCTACAACAAAGTAACATCTTCTGCCGTCATGGGGAGAGCAGTGGATGTTGTTTACCTGGATTTCAGCAAAGCGTTTGACACTGTTTCCAACAGCCTCCTCCTGGACAAACTGGCAAGATACAGATTGGATGGGTGGTCTGCAAAGTGGGTAGGGAGGGAATTGGCTCACAGGCAGCACACAGACGGTGGTGATCAAAGGTTTTTACTCAGGCTAGCAGCCTGTCCAAGTGGGGTCCCCCAGGAATCAATACTGGGCCCCACACTGTTCAATATCTTCATAAACGATCTGGATGATGGGATTGAAAGCAACCTCACCAATATTGCTGATGACACCAAACTGGGTGCTGAGGGGGACACATCAGAAGGGAGAGCCATCTTACAGAGACCTGGTGTCATGGTTTAACCCCAGCCGGCAACTAAGCACCACACAGCCGCTCACTCACTCCCTCTGCAGCGGGATGGGGGGCCAGAATTGGAAGTGTAAAAGTGAGAAAACTCGTGGGTTGAGATAAAGACAGTTTAATAGGTAGAGCAAAAGCCGCGCACACAAGCAATGCAAAACAAGGAATTCATTCACTGCTTCCCATCAGTAGGCAGGTGTTCAGCCATCTCCAAGAAAGCAGGGCTCCATCACGTGTAATGGTTACTTGGGAAGACAAAATGCCATAACTCTGAACGTCCCTCCCTTCCTTCTTCTTCCCTGTCCTGGTTTCCTCCAGCTTTACATGCTGAGCATGACATCATATGGTATAGAATATCCCTTTAGTCAGCTGGGGTCAGCTATCCCAGCTGTGTCCCATCTCAGCTTCTTGTGCACCCCCAGCCTACTTGCTGGTGGGGTGGGGTGAGAGGCAGAAAAGGCCTTGACGTAAGCACTGTCAGCAATAACTAACACATCCCTGTGTTACCAACACTGTTTTCAGCACAAATCCAAAACATAGCCCCATACTAGCTACTATGAAGAAAATGAGCTCTCCCCAGCCAAAACCAGCACACCTGGACAAGCTGGAAGAGTGGGCTAACAAGAACAGTATGACATTTAAAAAAGACAAGGGCAAGGTCATGCAGCTGGGACAGAATAACCAGAGACACCAGTTCAGGCTAGGATCTGTGTGGCTGGGGAGCAGCCTTGCTGAAAGGGACCTGGGGGTCCTGGTGGACAGCAAGCTGAACATGATCCAGCAGTGCACCGCTGCAGCAATGAAGGCAAACTGGATCCTGGGCAGTATCTGCAGGGGCATTACTAGCAGAGATAGAGATGGGATCACCCCACTCTACTCAGTGCTTGTCAGCCGCACCTGGAGTACTGTGTCCAGTTCTGGTCCCCACAAATCAAAAAAAGACATGGGCAGACTGGAGAGGGTCCAAAGGAAGGCCACGAAGATGATCAAAGAGATCAAAGGAGAACCTGCCCTATGAGGAAAGGTTGATGGAGTTGGGTCTCTTCTCCCTGGAGAAGAGAAGGCTTGGGGGGACCTCATCACAGTATTCCAGTACTTGAAGGGCAGCTACAGAGAAGACAGAGGCTCTCTCTTCACAAGGAGCGACATGGAGAAGACAAGGGGCAACGGGTATGAGTTGCACCAGGAGAGGTTTCACCTCGTTATAAGAAAGACATTTTTTACAGTAAGAACAATCAATCACTGGAACAACCTCCCCAGGGACGTGGTAGAGTCCCCATTGCTAGAGGTTTTCAAGATGCGACTGGACAGGGTGCTAGATAATCTCATCTAGGCTCCCTTTCCCATGAAAGGTTGGACCAGATGATCTTTGAAGTCCCTTACAACCTGGGCTGTTCTACGATTCTAATAAGGACGAGGCCCCATGCTCCTCTGCCCAGCTAGAGGAAAGGCAATGGCAACTTTTTCTAACAGGGACCCACAGGTCTGATGTGCTACTAACACTGAAAATCCCAAGTGAAGCAGGAGACAGATGACGTTGTACACGATGAGCAGTCAAGTGAAAGTGGTTCATTTTTCTAGTCAGCGAGAAAGACTCCAACGAGCTTTCCTGAGGTCCACTATAAAAAGACCTGTAAGCCTGAAGCAGGAGTGTTGGCTTGGACAACTCACCTTTGATAGACTTAAGAATTTCTTGAATTCTCTGTGGCTCATTGCGGTCTGGTCTGCAGCTCGGTGTGATCTCCAGCACGTAATCAGGACCGTACTCTGTGAAGAACTGCAGGGAAGAGGAGAGGAGAGTCAGCAGAGAGGTCTCTGGCTGGCTGAGGCTGGAGGGAGGGCTCCCCATGGGTACCTGTTTGTAAAAAGGCAAAAACATTTTCTCCATCTGAGGGGCACATGTAGCTTAACTACATCAAAGAGGTGCTTCTGCAGTGTCTGTGCCCACCTGAAGTTTGCAACCGCTACCAATTCAAGGGCTTGGGAAGCAGAGCTCAGTGGTGCAGCCAAAAGCAGTCTCAGGTCTATCCCAATGCTTTATTTGGGAAAGCTGTTGACACTCATTTTACCCATGGTTACCTGCAAACCTGATTTTTTTATGAACAGAATTCAAGTGCTGCCTATCAGATATCCTTCCTTTTGGTTCCCTGCCCCACCTTGCAGAGTGCTGCATTGACATGACTGTGAAAGGAGAAAAATCAGTGTGCTTCAAGGTTAATAATGTTGTCTTTCCTGGCTGAATGCTCCAATAGTGTGCAGCTCAGCCTGAATGAGAAAATCTGCAGCACGCAGGCTCTACACGATAACACAGAATCAGAAATTATTGCCAGCAGTTTTATTTCACAAGCACGCAGCACTGAGCAAAAAAGCAGACACACCAGGGTTAAAAATTCAGCAGTGAAGTTGCAGTCGGTCATGTTGCTATGCCTAGAGAGCTTCACCCCATGAAGAGCTAGTCCAGACGTAAAGCTATTGTACCAAAGATAGGGAAATTCACAGCATTATAGTCTCCCAAGTCATTAATGATGCACAGGGCTGGGGTTCTTCAAGGGTGAGATTGGAGGTGGCAGATCTGGCAACCCAAGACCCACATCTCTGCACTAGCAGGGGCAATGACGGCTTCTCCAAGCGGACCTCAACATGCCAGTACTGATGAGGACAATGAAGTGGCTCCTGAATGTTGCAGGTTACAGTCCAGCATTTAAAAGCAAACCTGAAAGCATGCTGGGTTTACCAGCCTGTGAATTGCAGCATTAAGGAGCTGCCTGCTCTGTAAGTACATCAGCTATTCACACAGAATGGGCAAGGCAGCTGGGTCAGGGCAGGCAACGTGCTGCCTGCCCTGCTGCCTGCCAGACTTTTTTATGGGCCAACACAATATTCCACTGAAAAGGGAGTAAAAGGCAGATTTTGACAGCTGCATCGGCTCATTTGTGCAGTGCTCAGTCACTGTAGACCCAGCCAGCCGATTTGAAAAATGGAAAAATCTTTCCTTTTTAGCGAGTCAGTGTTTTGATCTATGCTTTCAACGCTGTGAGAATGAGATCCCATCTGTCCCCCAAACCAACGTGGGGCAGCAGGAAGCTGCTCTCAGCTCATTAGAAAACTACCATGACTATTCAGATCAGAGATGGACCCAGGGCCAGCCCGAATGAAAGCCCTACCCAGCTGTATCATGCAGCATGGGAGCACATACTTAGCTAATTAGCAGGCTAGCCCTCTTTCTTCCAAGCTTCTCCACAGTCAGCCCAAGGACTGATGTATATTTTTCAAGCAGACTATTTTCACAGTTTTCTTAAGTAATCTCCTTTATAGCTAAACATTTTCCTTTCTTCACCTCTGCCCGCAGATCGCTTTGGAAAGCCCCTGCTGAAATACTGATATGAGAGGAGAACACTGACATTTTTTATGCTTTGAAAGACTGAAAATGGCTACAGCAGAAGCCACCAACATGTCTTGGGAAGTCCTCACTGAGAGCTGGTGCCTCCTGTCTGGTTTGAGTTTGCCCTTGTACTGTGAACAAGACAGAGCTACTCCCAGAGTATACAGGCTCCACTGGCAAAGCCCACTGACTCCACAAACGAAGGAAGCTGGCTAATTTGCAGGAAAAAAGGAAAAACACATAAAATCTTGACTGCAGCATCTGTGAAAAAGCACATGGAAAACGCACACCTCTTAGTAACTGGTCTCGGCTGCACAACCTGCTGGTTACACAGGCAGTGGCACAGCGGACTTTGCACTGTGGATCTAGCACATCCAACCTGGGAAACAACGAGGCACAGTTAATCCTGATGAAGCCATCATTTTGCACTTCCTCATCCTCTGATTTCTATGGCATCAAGTGAAACAGAGCACCAATACAGTTTCATGCAACTGTTTTTCAAAGTCTATGTTAAAGGGCAAAAATACCTGGACTTTTGCACTGATGTGGTTTATGGCAGTCGAGAAGCTTTTGGTATTAAATAACTAATACCCTGTATTAGTTATTACCTCAGCTCCATCTGCTGAGCCACCCAGTATGGGTTGCAGAGCACAGTCATGCAGAAGAGCTTGGGGCTGGCTGGGTTTTACACTATCCACCAGAAAGCAGGTCAGCAGGGCAAGCCTTGTAAATCTTGAACTAGCTTATCCAAGAGCTCTGATGCAGGTGCTCTGAAGCAAACAGCTCCAGCTGTTCAACACATTCCTACCCCTCTACCGCAGGTTCCTGTGCAGGTGGCAGGAGAAAATACGTGTCCAGTTACCCCAGGTCACAGACTGAGACACAAGGGCTGCGACACAAACCAACAGGGCACAGGGGCAATGGCAGGAGACCCTGCCCACTTCTGCTACCTTGCACCAGCGGCAGAACGGCCAGGCAGGTAAGGACAAGACCACCTCTCATTGCCGCAGCTAGAGGTGCTTCTTGTCTCTGAGGAAGCAGTAACAAAAGAAATTCTTTCAACCACTCATCAATTGACAAAAGCAACAAGCAACACCTGGGAATCAGCTGAGTTCTGACCCGCCACAGGGACCCAGAGAAGCAAATCCAGCAAAACAAACCAATGACATCGATTTTCTCTTTGAGGTGGGAGGCTTAAGCCTTAATACTTCCAAAGATAGTACAAAAAAGCCATTTGTACAAGCACCTTGTATCCACTCTCTTGCAGCCTGAAGGGGATTCAAGAGGTGGTTTTCAATGCTTCAGAAAAGACTCATTCTGTTTCTTCATCTCTCAGAACAAGGAGGATGTTACAAGCAGACAAGCTCATGCTTCAGCAACAACAAAATGCCTGCATTACTCACTCATCCATTTATTTGTAGCAGGGAAAAATATATCTTTTTCATCCCTGGAAAAAACCTGTCATTTTCTCTCCTGAATCAGCAGCCCACCTGGAAACTCACAACCACTCCCTTTTAAAAGTCAGGCATGCCAAAACTGAGAGAATCACAAACGTCCGATGCGCAATCCTAAAGCCCTGAGCAGGCTAAAAGGACCTGAAGTTTAAACCAGAGGGAGGCATACCTGGGACTGCAAATGTCTTCCCTCCCATCAGCGGCGTGTCCCAGAAAAAGAAGCAGTGCCCAGTGTAGTAGCACAACTGCAGAGTGCTTTGGTGGTCTGAAAGAGGATGGGAGTAATGGTTCAGGAGATGGGAATGTGGAATGACTGCAGGGAAAGAAGTGTTGGAGGAAGAAAAGAGTAGGCATAGAGGCCAGGAAAAAGGGTGAGAAAGAGAAAGGAAAAGGCAAAGAGGAGAAATAAAAAAAAAAAAAGGCTAAAACAACAATGTTCTTAAAGGGGAAGGATATTTTCTACTGAATAATGCCAGATCTGACAACAAGTACTATGCCAATAGCAAAAAATTAGGCATCTTATGAAAGTCTAAATTCTGTCCCTGATTTTAGTACAAACAGTTCATTGGTGGACACTGCTGCAGGGGGAACATGACCCACTGCACCATCAGCACTGGATGTTCAAAGAAATTCTATGTTGGTCCTTCCAGACATCCTAAGACTATTTAAACACCATTGCACTGCTGCTCAGTCAAATGCTTTCTGGATCTCAAGACCACACCCGTCTTGTTTTCAAGCCCTTCTCTACAAACTCATGAATCAAAAAGAACCACCAAAAGACCTCCATGTTTCTGAATATTGACTTTCTTTCATAGTAACTTGATTCCAAGACCTGGAGCTGTAAAGAACATCCCCAAACCCCTCAGTGCTGGAAGAGAAGCAAAGTGCTGAATATAATTGGGTAGAATTTGGCCCGTCATCACCAAAAAAGCATGCCAAACCTGGCTGATGGAGAGAAATACATTGAGAGCAGCACAACCTAGCCACTTCACAGCAAGGTGCTTCAGCAATGATCTGTCCCAGGCTGTGCACTCTCATGAGTTTCCTTCAGGAGGCAAGCAGAGCCCTGGGGTTGTACAGCAGGAAAGCAGTGCCTGGACTGCCTTCAAGCTGCTCACAGTCAAGAATTCTGCACTGATCTCAAAAAGCTGACTAGTCTGACAGCTCAGCTTCCAGGTTTCGTGTTAATCAGAATGGGAATTCCTATTTAAAGCAAAGAAAACACGAAATCAGGAAGTACCAACCTTTGTTTCTGTGCACAGGCGCTGATAAGCTATTAAACCATTAGTGGTTCTTTGCCAGAAGCAGCAGAAAAAAAACTGGGAATCTGACAAGAAGACATCAGCCCTGTGTGCGCACAAATACATACGTACACATACACAGAAAGCACACGCTGTTTCCCCTTCAGATTATCTCATAGCTGTATAAATATTTCATACCCACTAGCCTCCAAATCAATCTTCCTCCTTCATGACTTTGCCCCTGCCAAATCTGCTTCCACCAGTTTACCTTAAATATGCCAACCCATCCCAACAGCACAATGCAGGCAGCCTGGAGCATCTTGTGGAAAGATTATAGAGGGTAAAATATACTGATGAGGAGGACTCTAAAAATACGCAAAACCAGTCAGCTGTAGCTTCTCTGGGAGCTTCTGTTAGGAAGCTCTGCAGGATCAATGCAAGATGAGGCTGTCTCATTCTTAACCACAGAGAAACAGGCTGCCGCACATTAAGTGCTAGCCTGGAACTTGCACTAGCAGCAAGGTGAGGAACTACGTTACCTTCAACTAGTTCCATCTAAGGGGAAAAAAAAGCCTTCTCTAAATGCAATGACTCATGGAATGAGAGAAGGGAACAGAAGAATTCCCGTCAAAGTGAAGGGCCACATATCGAATACATAGTAAGACACTCCTTCCCCTGAAAATCTGAGGTCCGTAATGTT